AAAGTGGTTTTTGTGGAGTCCCAGCAGGTTCTCATTTTACAACTTAGATGAACTACTTTAGTAAATTAAAGAATGTTAGTATATCATTGGCCACTCAGTGGTTTCACTGCCTGCTGTGCAAGCACAAGGACCCGAGTTCGATCCCCGGTACCAAAAAAATAAAAAATAAAAATAAAAATAAAAATAAATAGAACAAAAAGTGGTTTTTGTGGAGTCCCAGCAGGTTCTCATTTTACAACTTAGATGAACTACTTTAGTAAATTAAAGAATGTTAGTATATCATTGGCCACTGAAATGTTAACCTACAGGTATATTTGAGAAGTAGAAACATAAAGGCAACGTTTTAGTCATTGGTGTTAAAATTAGATTTGAGTTTATAATCTTGAGAGGCAGGCCGTGAGTTGTTTTTCACAGTCCACGAAAGTAAATGCTTCTTCTCTACTAAAGTTGTGTGTATGCTCCAGGAAACTTTGAAATGTCTTAGTTTAAACATCACTTTCAGTTTTTAGCAGTGGGACTCTTCTTGATAAAAATTTAATCTCATTCTACATCATCCTTTTAAAATGTTTTTCCCCATTACAAATGCAGAAAATAAAGATATACAAAGAGAAAAAATAAAAATCCTCCATAGTCCCACTACACAGAGAATACCACTTTTAACAGTTTAATTCCAATTTACTATTTTTCTTGATACTGAGACAACAGCTTTGAGGGGAAAAGAAACAATTTCAGCCAACTATATAGATGATTTTTAGGATGCATATTAATTTTGAAAAATTAAAAAGTGGTGAAGAGGGGCAGGGAGTATATTTTGGAATCTACTTTAAAGGACAGCTCTGGACTTCTCTCCTAAAAAGCCATATTTCTCCATGGGTTTCTGGCTTCCCTAGCCTGAGACTCCTCTAGTCTGACTCAGCATTTTAAATAAATCTAATCCCATTTCATAGTCATCACAGTAATCCCTCCCACTGTTCTCCCAGTCATATTGAACTTCCTTACCTTGTGCAACTGTGGGTTTTTATTCACATGCTCTGAATTTTAGGAAGTTCTTTTTAAAAAATTTTTTTGAGGGGAGGAAGTTCTTTTTTTCTAGTAGACCAAATACTGTGGCTATTCCCTGCTATCAGTTCCCTTGAGCCACCCCACAAGGTAAAGGTATAAATATCTCCCACCTGAAAGTCATCTACATACTTTAAAGCAGTTCTCTGCTGCTTTCAAGAGTTGCTGACATCTTCCTTGTTCTTCTAACATCTTCTGATTTCTAGGTTAAACATCCCTGGTGCTATTGACTTAGACTGTTCCTTACATTTCCCTTTCTATGTTCACTTTAAAATCTTGCCAGCATACCATATATGTTGTCTAACCAATGTATGGTGTAATAAGAACTATGACATTCTTTATCCTGGTCCTATATTTCCATAAATTCTGCCCATGTTTTATTGTTGCTTACTAGCAGTACTCTTTATTAGCTTACACATAAATTATGGTTAGCTAAGAAGGGACCCTTTTTGTTTTTCAAAACCAGGTATAAAACAACATTTTCTCTTATTAGATTTAGTATTATTCACTTTAGGCCATTTTTCAGCCTTTTAAGGACTTTTGCTCTTGGCTCACATAGGTTTGGATTATATCTTCCAACTGTGTTGTCTACAAGTTTGAGGAGTATTCTATATCTTTGCTCAAATAAAATTTATTAAAACAAGCAACAACCAAACACAAGCAACTCTTATCATTTGATGTTACCATATTGCCACTCAAATTTCTTTTTAAGATATACCTTCCTAACTTGATTCCAGGTATCTTACAGGAAGAAGCTTATCTTACTGGTCAATATTAATAATATCTAAAGCTCTCAGGTCATAGTTATTTTTTAATTGATCCTGTGGCTATTAGTAAATCATGTGTCTACCTTGCTTACCTTCAACCCCCCACACACACACCCACACATACAGTTTTTTGCACACATACAACAAAGAAATGAATAGTGGAGACAACACAGTGGACCTCTCTGGAGTTAGTTCAGTGTCACACACCTTAAGGTAAAAAAAAAATCCTTTTCCTGCATCATACGTTTTATTATAGAATGACAAGCAGAGTTAGTTGATGGATAAATGCTCATCTTTCAGCTAAATAATTTTATACTGTGAGGACAAAATGCTCAAACATTTAACTCAATTTTTCCCTTTCCAGACATATGTTTTGCTGTAATGTAGACACAGTTTCCACAGATATATTTCTGGCCTGAGAATGTTCATGTGTCTGTTAATGTGTGCACCTTTTAAAACAGGAAGAATAATGCTGACATTTTATTCCAGCTGAATGTTGGAAGCATAGGTGGATGTTATTAAGGTGATTACCTAAGCCTATAGAGTAGTTCATGTAAGCTCTTGGTTTGGATATGCTTGGTACATTCATATAGACCATCTGTTTGTACATTCTTATATTTATTCATTCATTTATTCATTCATTTATTCAGTAAACACTTAAACACTATTATGTCCAGGTTCCACTACACTTTAGGTTTTTAGAAAGATTCTTGAAAATGCTAATTTCCTTAACACATGCTAGTATTGGGGATACGTCATTTCATGAAAATTATTTAGGTTAGAATTTGTAGATCCATAAATATACCAAATCTAATGTAAACCCAATCTATATGTCGTATATACCCAATCTATATGTTTCACAATAATAATACACTTAACATGGCAAGCCAGTACACACACGTCTATACACAGTATATATGCATGTGTATCAGTAAATGTGCACAAGTATATATGTACATGCAAACAATAGTTTCACCAAACAGTACTGACCCCCCTAAAAATGATGTACTCTCACATTTTCTTTTCTATTATATCCCTTTTTTTGGTAGAGCCATATCTTTTTAAGTTTTTTTATTCGTATATGTTTGTGATGCATAATAATTATTTATGACATTTATCCTGGGGAATCGGTACATATCCATGTCCGATCTTGATCATTTTTACTTTCCCTCCCCCTCCCTATGCTTCACTGTTCCCTTATCTCCAGATCTCGTTCCCATGTCCACAAAGTCTACTTTTTCTATTCTATTTTTTTAAATGCTAGTCGCAATTCACTTAATTGGTTTTATAATCCTACTAATGTACTGTAAACCTGAGTGTGGAAAACAGTGACCTAGAAGAAATCATTTTGCATAATGTCTTCTTTCTGATTAAGCACACTATTTCTAAACTTCACTGTTTACAGATTCAAATTTGGCTAATTGTTACTTAGGTGTTCCCAAACCTATAACAATCTCTGCAGAATTTACGTCTCTTTTCCAAAGTCTGAAAGCGAACCCTTTTACAGTGTCCTATTTCTAGACACCATAACTGGCACAGTTCAGTGTTCTTTTTGTTAATCTAATATATTGTCATATGTCATATGTAAAACAGAAGGAAAATCCCACAATACAAGTCCACTTATGATTTAATACTCTTGATTTTTCAAAATGAATAGACAGGCTTGTTGCTGTTCGCATATTCAGTGTTTTTAAGGAATCCATCTTTTAGGCATTGTCTGTTTCGGTGTATTACTCCTCAGTGGAGAGAGAGCAATAATTTCCTGCCTCTTCACCCTGGACCTGAGAAACTGCTTTCAACACCCTAAAGACAAAGAAAAGCTTCTATTTATAGGCTTCATGTGGTTTCTAAAGTTTTAACCAAAGTGAATAGAACAATAATAAATTGCTTTCACATTTCTGCCCATAGAATTGTTTATTTAGCATTTTCGGTAAAACAAGAGACCTTCCATCTGCATGAAAAGACTGTATTTTGATTGCCTAGGAGATTCGAAATGATTTCTAATCTTGCCACTACTGTCTTCTGCTGTATAAATGAAATGTTTCATTTTCAGAGAATGTGTCAGGATTTTCTGAAGACAGTTGCTTCACTGCTCTGCACTCCCTCGCCCCCCCCAAAATAAAATGCTTTGCTTTGTATTTTCCAAGAGAACAATGGCATTATTTTTTATATTAGAAGATAGGATTTTCAGCAAGTCTTAAAATGCTTATTTGCTAGTGGTTTCTTTGTTCCATAAAGTTGCTTGTAGGAATATTGTCTTTCATTCTCTTACTACCAAGGGTTCTCAGTTTTGTGCAGTGATCAAACAGGACAGTTGCCCTCTGGATAGGGAGAAAGAATTGTACCTAAAATATGCACACCATTATATTTGAGGGGTCAAGATAATAAGCATCTACTGCAATACTCCTTTCCTTTGAAAAAGGCTGCTTTTGTCAGGGAGTTTTTTTGTTGTTTTTTGTTTTCTTTTGTTTGATTTGGTTGGGTTGTTTGCAATATTGGGGAATGAACCCGGGGCCTTCATACTGAGCTACATCCCCAGGCTTCTTTTATTTTTTTGATTTTGAGATGGAATCTTAATAAGTAGCTAAGTTACCCAGGCTGGGCTAGAACTGGTGATCATCCTGCCTCAGCCCTCCAGAGTGCTGGAATTACAGGCATCTATCACTATGCTTGACTGCCAGGTCTGTTTTGACAGCTAGGCAAATCATAACAAGGGATGTGCCATTTTGTCAAGGTATTGAGGCGGGACAGAGTTGAGTTTTTCTTGACCCCTAGCATCTCCAAATTATTTACATCCTCCTATACCTGCATGGCTGATCTCTAGCCCTGCTATAAGTGTGAAAGAAACTTAATATTTGTTATTGTTGTTGTTGTTGAGTTTGTTTGTGGGTTGGTTATTTTGCAATACAGGGGATAGAACCCAGAGCTCTGTCACTAAGCTATACCCCCAACCCTAAGGCTTGCTTTTAAAATGACATTTG